AATGGCAGCGGCTCGCCACGACCTGCATACGGCGGCGAAGCGGACGCGATGGAGCAGCAGGGTGACCTTGCTGCAGATCAGGTCGAGGAGATCACCGGGGAGATCGGACCACTCCACCGACGTGGATGGCGTGCTCTGTGCGCCGCCGCTGCCATTCATCGGTCCGCGTCGACGGCTACGAGCTAGGTTAAATCGCTATTGCGCACGTAACGTGAATCGATCTATTGCAGGCGTACGTACGCGTGCGTATATAACATATATTGACGGACACTATCCCGTCCATATGTGGACCACCTAATCGCATCGAGTACATCTTTTGCCTACACACATCATCATGGTGGCCAGTACAAGCAAGAATAAACGTTGGCTGGCTGGAAAACTACACTGGCAATAAAAATCGATTTAAGTCGCCTTCTTTCCTCAGTGTTTATGCTTCTGTTTGAGTCGTTTCATTGCTACTGGAATCATGCAATCAGGGAGTGTAGATTTGGCCACAATCAATAAGGTGTTAGTTGTTTGTCTAACAAGAAGGGGATGTAGCTCAGATGGTAGAGCGCTCGCTTAGCATGCGAGAGGTATGGGGATCGATACCCCACTTCTCCATTTTTTTCGTCTTAAACTTTACATATCCGAAAAATACTCTAAAGAATCTGTAGCCTTTTTTTCGTCTTAAAGTTTGCATATACGAAAAATAGTCTAAAGAATCTATAGCTCAGAGAGTACAATTGCTGACATGACATAATTGGTCTTCCTCTTCAGATTTAAATGTAATGACTTTACTCCTTTTTTTTTGGTTCGGAGAGATCGTGGCTTTACTTTGGTAACTCCAATTCTCCAAATTCTTGTCTTTTTTTCTTTGCAGATCTGAAAATACTGTAAAGAAAAACACAACCTTCACTTAGTTTTCTTTTTGGTTGAAAGATATCTTGGCTTTACTTTTGTAACTCCAAATCTCATAAAAACATACACACAATTTGTGCTGCGAACCAAAGCAGTGCGATAATAATCACTAGCCAAAAGCAAACTGTTACCATCATTTTCCTCACAAAAAAAGGCCATGATTTTTTTACCGGCCTCTTTGTAGAAAAAAGGGAGAAGAGCAAAACAAGACTAGGAGGCACAGTCACATCATTACAGAATGAAAAAAAAAAACTCATCTATACGTTCTCCCCTACACCCAACCAAATTTATTGAGTCAATTAATCTCGCAAATGCAACAGCCAAATGAAAGCCAAGACACTTGGATTTCCAGATCCAGTTGGAGTAGATGGGAGCTTCCATATGCTCAGAGAATAACATGTACTCCGTCCGACCCATAATACAAGATCGTTTTTCTAGCTAAATGGAGATGGCAGCAAAAAGGAGATCAATAAACTCCCCTAGATCATTGCCGGCGCGCGTTGCCGCACCATCCATTTTGACAATAGAATGATAAGTCTTTTCATAAATATATGTGTCATTTGGCCATAACTTTACTCCTAAGCCCTTTATTCAAACCATGAGACATGTGTTACTACATCCATCCATTTATACAATAGAATTATATCACTAGTAGAAAACAAGGCATCAGTCCCGGTTCCAGAGAGCCTTTAGTCCCAGTTCTTGAACCGGGACTAAAGGGTCGAGACTAAAGCCCAAAACCTTTAGTCCCGGTTTGTTTACGAACCGGGATGGAAGGGGCTCCACATGGCTGCTGCGGGGCGTCCAGGTAGGAGGACCTTTAGTCCCGGTTGGTAACACCAACCGGGACCAAAAGGCAGCCATGCGTCAGCACCTCGCATGCGCTGGGGTTTTTGTTTTTTAGGGGGGGTAGGGGTTTTGGAGGGTTAATTTAGGAGTTTGATCATATTATGTTAGCTAGCTAATAGAGAGAAGTGACCTCTCTTTCTCCATGCTTGGTCGATGCTAGCTACTGTACGTATAGAAAGAACTCGACACCATAGCTAGTAAGAAAATGAAGGAACCATTAATTACAGAAGATCATCATGAACATATACGTATAGAGAAGTGACCTCTCTTTCTCCGAGATTGGTCGACCAACAAGTTTTCGTATATATCTATCCGACGCTACTATGTATATACAATATACTTACCATGCCTAACATCTAAAATCCATGTCAACTTCCACATGACATTCTCCGTCTTTATGTATGACGTGGTCAAGAAAGATCCTGTCAATTCCTCTAGAATTGCTCGTATGCGATCATGTGGTAGGAGTTCATCCCGCATCTGCCACAACTAATTTAAAGAAGGGGGTCAATACATATATATGAATGAAACTCAACACAATTGATGGTAATAAAATAAAATTATGAATATAGTTTACGTACTTCATATTGTTCGTCAGAGTAGCCCCGCTGAGAGGTCGAGTTGAAGATGAACTCGCAAACATAGTATCCACATAAATTATTTCCGTCTTCCTGCCACAAGCACTTTATGAGAAATAAAATTCAATCAAACTGGTAATCAAGCATGATAAATTGTATTGATGAAATTAGAATCAATGAGAGATGCGCGGAACTATCTAGTACTACTTGCTTTGGGGTGTGTAAATCGCAGCTCCCTCTGCAGACCCGGAACCATTCCGATGAACTTTTTCCAAACCCTGTCAGGCAAAGGAAATGATTACTTGATATCAGCAAATGAACAAAAGTTGCCGATATGGTGCGATAATGATCGATTGAACTTACTTCTGGAGCATTGCAGTCATGTTCGCATAATCCTAGGGATCTCTACGTCTCGAGTCTAAGACAGTTACTATTCCCCGGTCAAGCTTAATCTCTAGCAGAATAAAGTGGAAGCTGCGCATGCATAACTCATGATACATTACTATAACCTCAAGCAAGCGAAACCGAATATGCACAAGACAGTAACACTCACTTGAAGTTGTAAGGAAAGAGTATTTTAGCTTTGTTTTGATGTCGAAATAACGATTGTAGCAAGTTGTCCTCAATATCTTTGACTCCCTTTTTAACCGACCATTCATTTATGGTATTTGGGTTAATGAACCCAATGTCATTGATTTGTCCTTTTTTACATCCGATGATCTTAAATCTGCATAATATACTGAGGATAATTATATATACATGAATTGAAAGAGCTAAGCTATGGAGACTTAATTACATAGGTAATACTTACAGACAGTAGCAAGTCTTGAGTTGTTTGTCGACGACGTCTTGATTGAATAACTGAAATAACTCCACAAATTCAACAGGCAGCAACTCAACTCCAATGAGGCCGTACTCATCTTTAATTCTCACCATCATACCGTCCTTTCCAGACTTCTTGCAGTTATCCATGTACCATTCATGCAATCTTCGCATCATCGTTGTTAGAGGAGAATGATAAGGTTTGACGAGAGGCTTCCCGTACTCGTATCTGAAGATCTCTACTACCTATAACGTTTCAAACTCTACATCATCGCTCAGGTAATCACCAGGATCGGTACCGGGCAATAGCCCCGGATTATTAGAGACGATATCGCTAGACACCTTGAGCGGGGGCACGATTGCTTCGCCTATTCGCCGAGCTGGGGAATTGTTTTCCGACTTCTTCATTGTGCTAATCTTGCATCACTGGAAGTACTTCCCGACCGCCAGGCATATTCATATGTCTTTTTAATACAGCGGACATAGTTGGAATCCGGCGGATGCGATGATGGTCACTTCAGGGCATCCAGAGTGCGCTTTGCTTTCACCAGATCAACTGTTTCCTTCGGAGGTGGAGGTTTCCATGCAAAATGGTCCTCCACTTTGGCTGGCACGATGTCATCAGTTTCCTTGTCAGTCCTCTCATATGGTAACTTTTCCGGAGTCTTGAGACATGGACCGTATTTGAATTGCTTCCCGTCTCTGCTTGTACTGCTAGCCGCCAGAGCGGCAGCATCTATCTTCCGTCGTTGCTGACGCGGTGGAGTCCGCAGACACGCCGGAGGAGGCAGTGCTCCGGCGCGCCGGAGGAGGCGGAGAAGGCAGAGTGCCCTCACGCGCCGGAGGAGGAGGAGGCGGAGTGCCCTGACTCGCCGGAGGAGGAGGAGGAGGCGTCCAGTTTGGAAGCTTGATGTACTCCTTCCTCCATAGACAGGTATTTCTTAAAGCAGCTCGCAGATGAATGTCCCCTTCACCTGTAGGGAAGTCAAGCTCCAGCTCCTCAAATCTCTCCATTATTTCATCCACCGTCACAACAGAACCCACACATCGGGTGGTTGCGCTGCGACCGGCCCAAATTTGGGCCGGCGCGCCAGCACCTATCGTTGGCCTTTTAATTTGTGCATGCTTGGAGAGGCTTTCCTCCCAATCATGTATGTGATATGCATTGTTGAACACACTCAAGTGTCGCTTCTAGCAAGGGAAAATGTGTGCACAAGACCGGACATTAAAACTGTGATGCTATTGCTCATGGTAATAACATTATAACTCCATATGCATTGAATGGAATAGAGTTCCACCCACTGATCAACCTAGTTGAAATTCCGAATTTCAAATCAGCATACATGAAAAGTATATTACACAGGAACAATAACAAGCCACATGCCCTACTCAATGATCTAGCTCAAAAATTTCCTAGCAGTAGATGTTCATATTCGTACATGCCAAACCAGGGAAGCCAAAAGCCTCTTTGTACAAAAAAAACCCATAGTAGAATTCTTTCAAGGACAGGTGTACTGACTGTTATTTATAGTTTAATTAGTTAACAGTCACAAGCCACACAACTTGCAAACACAGACTTCAGCACAAGACGAGCAAACCCAAACCTCTGCGATTTGTGTCAACTCTCACAAAAAAAAGAATACATGCCTCAAGATACCAGCAGGTTCGTGAGCATCTGAATTGTTGCAGCTAGTAAAGCAATAGCTCTCTCGACCATGGTCGATGCAGCAAGGCAATTCAGGAGCGACTCGACAGCAAGGAAAATAAGGAAACCGGAAATGTCTAAAATTTAGTTTTTTAAGGAACAATCTTTGTACACAAATAGCTTGCAAGAAAACATGTTCCAATCTTCTAGTGAGCTTCTAAATTTACTTTTTCAGGGAGTTCTCCCAACCAGCAGGGGGTGTATGGGAAAGACTCTTGTACATATCGATGGTAGAAATCGGATTCTGGGTCAGTATAGAATTTCGAGAAAACCTTGCCCAAATCTTGAAGCTTTGAGCTACTCCAGTTATAGGCAAGCACTCTGTCGAATTTATCACTCAAGAAGACAACCTCTTTGTAAGGATGAAATCCAAGGAAAATGATACAACAATCGTTGATCCTACCACCAGGTTTGAGAACATTATCATTGTCACAATCCCACACAAATTTCTGTTCCACTGTTGCTTCGCTGTTGTACACAATGGGAGAATCATCAGCAGCATCTTTATTTGCCCAATAGCGAAATTCTTGTAAGATCCAAGGTCCGTCACGTTGTTTGTCGTAGTTCAGATTTGGAAGGATGGAGAAGATATCTCTGTCATGCTTCAACACCCACTCTGTCTGACCATGAAGACATGGGTCGTTTAGGAACCAAACCTGAAGATGGAACCCCTGAAATAACGATGCACACTATATCCCATTGACTGATTTTCCTAGATAAAATTCTGCATCTTCTGTGGGCAATTCAATTGCTCGGAACGTACTGTTTGACAGTGATATTCTGCAATAATAATAGTAGGATAATTAAACAATCGTATACCATGGTGCTCAAAGGCAGAACCAGAATGAATGAACCATGTCTATATAAGGTGTTACCTCATAACAAACCAATCAGAGCAACATATATAGAGTGCTCCTCGCCAGTAGGCAGACTGATGTTTGAAAAAAATTCGCAGTGACCCATCCATGCCAGGCAACGTCCCTGCAGCCGCCCCTTCCCGACCAAATGTCCTTCCTCCCAAGATTCAGACTTTGATGAAAACATAGGTAGGATCAATGTGGATGGCGGCCATTCAGCTTCGTCCTCACAGTCGTCGTTGTTCTTGGAAGGGACATCGGGCACTATGAGCACTTCAAAATAGTTGGGCGACAGAGTGGGGTCAAACACGAGGTGCTCGCGCGCAAAGGAGATCATGCCCGGAGGTGGGGGTTGTGGCAGGTCCGGGGCAGGTGGCAGGGGCGCCCACTGCTGTGTGGCAGGGTTGACCACGCAGTGGTGGAGCAAGAGAAGGCCATTGCAGTGATCTCGGACGTGGATGGGGGGCATGAGGTCAGGCTCGCCGGGCACCGTGTAGTCCAGCCGGCCAGAGATTGCGGTGCCCGTCGTGGGGCGGGAGAGCAACTGCGTGAACCATAGGTCCAGGTAGTTGAGGAAGATGCCACCAAGCGAGCGCGGGAGGAGGTCCGACCGCAGCAGTCTGCGGTCGTCGATGACGCGGCGCCATGCCTTGCAGACGCAGCGGGAAGCGGCAAGGCCGCGTGGTGCGAGGAGGCGGAGGACGCCCGCGAGCACGTAGTCCGGCACCATCGTGGCGAGATCTGCCATCGTTGTGGGGAGCTAGATCTGGATCTGGATCTGGATGATAGGGGAAAAGGCTATTCTACCTACCTGTTAACCATGTCAGGCCTAACCACATCACTAGTCCACACGCAGTTGTCTATATATAGTACTCGTGTGTTGGTATGCAGTATCAATTGCATGTATATATTAGGTAAGAAATATATAAGATTTGCATATCTACATAATATATGAGATTTTCTCGTATCCTTCCTAATATATCCATGTAATTAATATAATACATTAATAAAGCACATATATTACTCCCTCTCTTGTACTAGAATATAAGGCGCATCAATTTTTGTGAAAGTCAAATATTCCTATGTTTGATCAAGATTGCAGAATAAAATATCAACATCTACAATACCTAATAGAAAAAATATGAAAATATTTTTTATGATAGAAAATTGATATTGTAGATATTGACATGTTTTCACAAACACTTGGTCAATCATGCACATGTTTGACATTTCAAAAACCTAATACACCTTATACTATTACAGAACGAAGGGGGTATGTGATTAGCTCTCATATTGAGGATGTGGAGTTTTTACACCCAGGAGCAAATGCTCCTGGTGTGAACAGTAAAATAAAAAAAATTCAAAAAAATGTCAAAAAATTCTGAATTTTTTTGTGCCATACTTATACAAATGTTTGTTGTGCACGTAAAATTTCATCGCGAAATCACATTGATGGAAGATGTGGTAAAAAAACAAAATCGATGCTCTGAAAATGTTACTTACAAAAGCATTTTGGAGCTCTGATTTTGTTTTTTTCGGCACGACTTCCACGAATGTGATTTCGTGATGAAAATTTTCATGCACAAGAAACACTTGTGTAAGTATGTCACAAAAAAAATTCAGAATTTTTTGAATTTTTTTCTATTTTTTTGATTTTACTGTTCACACCAGGAGCATTTGCTCCTGGGTGTAGAATGGTACTTTCGTCATATTGAAATTTTGTATGAATTTTTTTTCGGAAGGCGAATATATTAATATCACGAAGATATCAGTTACACCCGGTCTCTGTATCAGCAAGATGTCGAAAGGCATCAAGGATACACATAGCCAAAAAAAGAAAATAGAAAAAAGAGGAGAAAAGAAAAAATGCTCCACCACTGACAACACCTGAATTACAAAAGAGGTTCTTCAAAAGCAACACCTCCAAGAAGTAAACAATGCACAAGTGTTGTCATTGCCCGATCAAAGTTCTTGAGTTTTCACCCTAGAAAAAGTTCGAGATCACCCAAAAAGCAATGCCTTCAACAAAGGTCATTGCCAGGTACAACCAATAAAGGCCAAACCTTGGGTTTTCACCCTGGGAATTGTGACTCGGTACTCGAGAAGCACCACCAAAACAGCAGTCCACTAGTGATGCCATCCCCGCTTGTCGAGGCCGCTGTTGGAGGTCACTAAACACCTAGGACACAGTCTTCATCACATCCAGTACACCTTTCTGCCAACGCTTCAAGACCTCCAATCGTAGCCACCATGCCTTTCTCCACCTCTATCAATGCCTTGGGATCCTTGACTTAGCCATGTCCCATGACTCTGATAAGAAAGTGAAGCTTCGCGCCACGCCCTCTTGAAGTCGTGTTGGTTGATAATATGAGCGTGCACGACCGGAGCCTTTCCAATCAAGACGTCCAGGGGTGATATACGTCAAATTGCATATATCTATGACAGGGAAGACTGGAACTCGTCAGCAGCCAGATCAAAGAGCTCGATGTCCGTAGAGAGACTACATAACGCCGGAAGAGCGCTGCGGACAAACCACCATAGCACCAAGCACCTCCGCGCCCTGTCCATTGCGCCTGGCAAACCTGCCACGCCTCACCGGCGCAGCCAAACCACCGTCCCGCGGAGCCGCTGGCCATCCCAACCCAAACGCCTCCCATCCCTATCAGATATGGGGATCTAGATCTGCAAATAGAGGGCAAAAGCTAGAGCCACCATGCCATGGATAGGACCGTCGGCGAGCAGGACATCACGGGAAGGAGCCGAGGGAGAGGAATGTCACGATGACCCACAACGTTGAAGGAAGGAGACCCCACACCCCGTCCTACATGCCAGGAGAGAAGGTCACGGCCGCTGCCAACACAACAGGGGCTATGCCTAGGGGCGCTCATCGGCGGCTACGAGGGAAGTGGCGCGGGAGGGAGAACCTAGGCGGGCACGCGCTCCCAGGTCGCCCGTGGGGAGGGCGGCATGGGAGGAGAGGCAGAAGTTGGGCGATGTAGATGTAGCTCGACTCTTTCTTCTTTCCATTTTTGTATGGTATTAACTGCACACTAAAATATGTTGAGCGCTCACTATCAATACAATTTAGATCGTTGGATGGACCTGCTTTGATGGCACACATTAGCAAGATCTACCCACTTTGAATATTTTTACATTAGTTTTTTTTAAGTCGGGCCCAGAGGATCTTGATTCATTAAAAAGGAGAAGAGAGTTGTCAGATTAATATACGGAAAACCAGGCTAAAACCATCACAACAGCCCAACCAGGGTAGCAATGGCTGTCCTGCCTGCTCACACGAAGACACACACACCACTGAGAAGAAAAGCATTGCCAAGGTTGTCACCGAGCGTCATCGCCATCACTCCTCCATGAGCCAGCGACTCCGACTTCACCATCAACTTCATCAACGAAGCTTTCGTCACAGCAACCCATGCCAACCTATCCAAACAGATGACCACCCGCATCGGTGTCCAAACAGCTCCGACTTGAGTGACGAACCTAGCAGGAGAAAGCATGATGAGCCTGTGCCGAGCCAAACGCCGCAATCGAACCGCAACCCGTGTCATCGTCACCGCCGAGTCACCTTCTATGCAGCTTCGACTTCACAAGGACATGGCAAGGCAAGGAGACCCCTCGAATATGCCAGGACACATCGACTACCAAACCCCAGCTGCAACCCTGATCCGCACGAAGCCGCCATCTTTGCCAAATAGGAGATCACGCCAATAGACACTAGGCCACCGCCCTAACATCCCTGCAATAAACAATGTTAGAACTCGCATGAAAACTCCTAGGCGATGCGTTCAAGAAGGATCGCGAACGCAGGAGCATCGTCATCGCCTGTTCCATGTAGGAACAAGGGTTGCCTCGGAGTCTGAGAGAGGAGGGCATATGCTCTCGAAATATGATGCCTCCAAGGAGGTGAACAGCGCCCGCAAGCGGCACCATCGTTGGCTCTGGTCATCCCAGAGCAAGGCTTTCCCACCGAGTAGCCAAGGAATCCTCCTCTCAACTGGTCAATGCTGCTCGAACCTCTGCCCACCATACCACCAGAACCAGGATCCATCGGCCAGAGCCACACCGCCGCCATCACCTGCACTATGTAGAGCCGGCTAGACGAGTAACTCGACACCATCGCAGGACCAGATCGGACCACACGAAGCCAGATCTAGTACTTATGCATGAACAACAGTAGCCACCAGACATCCCTGGAGCCATCGAGGCTGCACGGTGGCCTGCTGTCGCCCCAAGCCCCGGCCACAGTGCTGCCCACACAGGCACCATGGCCGCTATCATCGAAGGAGGCCCTGGGCCGCCGCCCCGGCGTCTAAGTGCCTCCATTGTCCCAACGCATAGCACCAAGTCAGGAGATGGGGACTGTCATCACACTACATCTTCTTGTGCAGATCTGTCGGGCCGAGGTTCGCATCCCGCAATAGCCTGATAACCCACAAGTATAGGGGATCACAACAGTTTTCGAGGGTAGAGTATTCAACCCAAATTTATTAATTCGACACAAGGGGAGACAAAGAATATTTGTAAGTATTAGCAGTTGAGTTGTCAGTTCAACCACACATGTAGACTAAATATCTACAACGGAGTGATCAGTAGCAAAGTAATATGGAAGTTTGATAATATTGGTAATGATAGCAATAGTAACGGTAATAGTAGTAGCAGCGATTTTGTAGCGATTGTGACAGCGGTAGCAGCAGTACTAACTGTTGGCCCTAGAGGCAATAATAAAAGCATTATTATTATATTTCCTTGTTCATGATAATTGTCTTTTATTCATGCTATAACTGTATTATCTGGAAATCGTAATACACGTGTGAATACATAGACCATAACATGTCCCTAGTGAGCCTCTAGTTGACTAGCTCGTTGGTCGACAGATAGTCATGGTTTCTGACTATGGACATTAGATGTCATTGACAACGGGATCACATCATTAGGAGAATGATGTGATGGACGAGACCCAATCCTAAGCATAGCACAAGATCGTATAGTTCGTTTTGCTAGAGCTTTTCCAATGTCAAGTATCTCTTCCTTAGACCATGAGATCGTGTAACTCCCGGATACCGTAAGAGTGCTTTGGGTGTACCAAACGTCACAACGTAACTGGGTGACTATAAAGGTGCACTACAGGTATCTCCGAAAGTGTCTGTTGGGTTGACACGGATCGAGACTGGGATTTGTCACTCCGTATGATGGAGAGGTACCGCTAGGCCCACTCGGTAATGCATCATCACAATGAGCTCAAAGTGACCAAGTGTTTGGTCACGGAATCATGCATTACGGTACGAGTAAAGTGACTTGCCGGTAACGAGACTGAACGAGGTATTGGGATACTGACGATCGAGTCTCGGACATGTAACGTACCGAATGACAAAGGGAATTGTATACGGGGTTGTTCTAATCCTCGACATCGTGGTTCATCCGATGAGATCATCGAGGAGCATGTGGGAGCCAACATGGGTATCCAGATCCCGCTGTTGGTTATTGCCCGAGAGCCGTCTCGGTCATGACTACGTGTCTCCCGAACCCGTAGGGTCTACACACTTAATGTTCGGTGACGCTAGGGTTGTATGAATATGAGTATGCAGTATACCGAATGTTGTTCGGAGTCCCGGATGAGATCCCGGACGTCACGAGGAGTTTCGGAATGGTCCGGAGGTAAAGAATTATATATAGGAAGTGGTATTTCAGCCATCGGGAAAGTTTCAGGGTCAC